ACAACTTTCCTTCTCAACGCTACTCCCCATCTACCTTAGACCAGACAACGTGTCACCTGCGAGTAAAGCTTTGGGCAGAATTCACACATTTACTAGCAACAACGCAATTATCACAGTGCGTATCTGTCAAAAACCGATGTGCAACGCATTCTGCGACAATCCGGATGCAATAAATGCGTGATTAACGCATTGCTTGTACCCTAGGGGATAAACGCATCCGGCCGCAACTCAATCTATCCGCTTGACGAATCGCGCCGCATCTATTCCGAAATACCTACCCACTTGGGGGCATTCCTACTCTACCCCTCACTCCGTCCGCGACGCCGTAATTTTTTTTGCAGCTGCAGAGATTTGCGCATTCGCATCAACTACCCAGGCGATCATGTGGATGACACGAAGCTTCTGCCTCCGCTAGGTGCACATGTTAGCCCCGTCTCAGGAGCATTATTGAGAAGTGGCCTACATAATCTCTCTCGACTGAGTCGACCCCCGAGCCGCTCGAGCCGTTCAAGCCGTTGGGTGGGGGAATCATTTTATTGACGTATCTATGGAGCCGTTTAAGCCGTTCAAGCCGATCGTTGTTGCCCGCTTCGAAGAACCCCGGATGTTAAGCGCCGAAAACACGCTTACCGACAGCGCGGGTAATCGTTGGCAGGAATGGGTATCGAACGGGGTAGCAAGCAAACGGCCCCCTATAGCAGATCCGCCGTCCGGCGTCCCTCAAGCCACCATGCTCTACTATAGAGTACACGCAGTCTCGTTGGTCTACTTTCCCAGTAGCCATCGGAAGTGTGCCTCCAACCAACAGCGGTGATACTCAGTACACACCATACATATCTCCGCGGCCTAACGGAGCTAGTACGCGGGGAAAGTGGCGTTAATTGCGCCGGCTCCTACCGCACATAGCGTCTATAGGAGGATAGTGGACACTGCTAGATGGATATGATGCATACGGGAGTTTCCGATGCTTCGGTGTTTGATATCGACGATCGATGAAGGACACAGGCCCCACTGCATATTTGTGTAGTGTACCAACCCTATAGCTTCCCACGTCCACATCGCCAGCAATCAATCGCCGATTTGAGCGCCAGATGGAGCCTACAGACGATTCCATTCCATTGCATTTTCATATCTTCATCCTTGCACAGCGAGCTGACCGTGGAGATTGGTTCGGAGGAAAAATCAAGCACACGGCGCCGCATTGCCGCACCGAACATCGACACAGCCATCCATAGTTGCCCTGGCCTCGTTGGATGAGCTCGCATGAAGCTTACCTAGATCTGGGCGGCCAAGATTCTCTTGCATACGGGGCTGGCGAATGACTGTGTTGACGACGTTTGGTGTGTGCACAGTCAACGACTACACTCGTAGATGAGGGCCAGTGACTTTCAACAAAGAGGTGGGATGGCTGTCGAACTGGCCTACCTGTCGAACCCGCTCAGTCGCTAGGAGAGGAGTTTATGGATGGTTGGTTGGCGTCTGAGTGGGTTCGACAGGTAGGCCAGTTCGACAGCCATCCCACCTCTCTACGCCGGATCAATCCTTTTCACCATACCCTCGCCATAACCACTCACATCACACTCCACAAACGCAATCCTGGGCGGACTAGGGTGGGCAAGCCTCATGCAATGCGTGCAATGCATGTGAGGTCATCACTGGCGCGAACGGATCCGTGAAAACACCAACTGCTTTTCACCCATACTTACCCAACAGCGTTTTGGCAGCATGAAAGTTTTTTCTCGTCTCCTGAAATCCGTGGCCGTTGGCTGTTGGCGAGATTGCTGGGACCCCAATAATCGGGTGTCCGTGCTACTGGATAGGCAACCATGGTATGTCCATACCTAGCACCCACCCTCACAGCTGAGATCGGCCGGGAGACTGATATGCTCCCCTCGCAGCACGATCACGAACACTGGCTGGATCGGATCCCCAACTGAAAGCGCTCGACCAATTCCCCCTACGTCATCATGTGCGAGGCGGATATCGTATGCGATGTAGCCGAATTCTTGCTGGGCGTGGAACGACGAAGCACGAGGCCGTGAGAGTGAAAGAAGCCTAGTGCAACGGGTAGAAAGTGGACTGATCCACACAATAACTACACTAACTAGTACTTGGTGTGCTGAGGCCGTTACACGCGGGCCTGGAACCGCACTTCTTAGCCACGCTCACATCTGCATTGGCGAGGTGCAAAGACGTCGGGGCTCACAATCTCCCCGACCACTCAGCCGCGGTACAATACACACGTGAAACCACCAGTCTCAGCTGTCGAAACAGAGAAGCTGAACCGGAACCACCGCACCAAACCCCCAAAGTTCGGAAAGGCAGAGAAACACGCAAACAGGAAAACATGGACAACGGAGACTTTGAACGGACCCACGAGGCAAACATGATCCACAATCTTCCGATTAGCACATCATGCGGAAGTTGGAGCCTTTATTTCTTCATCTATTTTGACACATCCCCACATCTGCCGTGAGCGGTATCTACTAACTATAGTACAGCTGTCGTCTGTCCTTTAGCTCGTATGCTGAATCGTACTCCGAAGTCTAATCTCACTGCGTGCCCCACGGGCCAGCTCCTCGTCGTGGTGCCCCACTTCCATCCACTCGGGCGGCCAAAAAGGTCTTTGGACCCTCGTGATCAGATGTAATACGATCAGAGAACTGTAGTCTGTGGTCAAACAAGAGTTTTTTCGTGGGTAGATCTCCCATCCAGTCATGTAGAGTAGGTCCGAAGGCTTTGCGGCCGCCGAAGTACTCTGGTTGATGCATGCTCTACATCCAGTGTCACCCGCCACCGAAGGCAAGCGGACAGGCATCTACCCCCTCCGAACACGCATGTTCTTTTTGCGGACTCTGAAAACAAAAACTAAGCTCGTCGGTGCTTCACTGATGCCGACACCGCGCGGCCAACAAGGTGCACGGAGAGACTTCGTGGGACTCCTCCGACGTACACAGCTCTACGATGTGTAAAAATAACTGTCACTGTCGAATGTCGTGGATTCCCCGCATGTCAACCCTCAGGCGCCTAAGTGAAAACAGATGTCGTCATTCCAATCATTTGGTGATGGGTAATGGAAACGTATTCCCCGCAAGATTGAAGTAAAAGGATTTGGACGGGGAGGGGGGGCCATTCCATCCGGCTTCACATGGTCGCAGAGCTTTTCACCACGGCAGATACTGATTGATCCCAAAACTTTATCCTATTGCATGCGCATCGCATCACGCCGCTTGTGCACAACGATAAATCAGGGCAGGAACGGCCTCCACGTCTTTCTTTTCGTCCTGGGAGTGATGGCAGCTGACACCAGAGCCAACTGCCAACAAATGATCATCACCATCACCCTCGATAACTCTCCCAAAGCCCTCATTCAACTTTTGCTTCTTTCCTGAACCCCAGCCCCCCTCGGGGCCGATATTAATAATGTGCGTTTGCAAGATTTCTTGCCAGCTGTCGTGAAAAGAAAAAAACAACAAAAGGATTGACCTACTGGTTCCGCCCTTAAGCCTTTGTGCATACGGGGCGGCTGCTAGTTGGTTCCACGGCAGTACGGTTAGAGGATAGTTGGGCCGAGGGGGAAGTGTCAGCTGGCGGTAGTTACTGGTTACCGCGTTACGGAGGTGGAATCCGATCGGAACCATCCAACGAACTCGTTGTCCTCCGGTCACTTCTTTGGATGCCGCGCCTCCTACGATCGAAAACTCCAGCGCAGCTCCTGGGTTGTACTTTCTCCAAGCAAATCATAGCCCCTTTTTTCTGAAAGGTGACATCTCCCACCACATTCACCGCAGAGAATTTCCCACCCTCAAGCCGGACAACGATCTGTAGCCAGTGCGGGCTGTATTCTCGAAGACGACCACGAAGACGACCACGAAGACGACCACGAGACAACGGCGGCGGCGATCAAACGTTCGAACATTCACATAGAGGACGCTGCTGTGTCGGACACCTTGATCGAGTCCTTCGGAACAACCGACTATCCTCCAGAGCTCTGCTCATTCAGTCCCCCGTCAAATCCATCCACCAGCGGTCTAGTGACTCCGTGCAAGCCATCCAAGCCCATCAACTTCGCAGTTCAATTCTATCGAGCCGTCAACGTTCTTGACACCCTTTTGTTAGGACGCCAATGCTTTTAACACCGGTTTTCCATTACTCTAGCTTACGCCTACACTCTAACTATCGTCAAAAGTTCTCCGCGGCCGCTTTTCGGCCGCTTGCGCTTCCCTAGCCCGCGTTCCTGACTGACAGACCAACAACGTGGCTTTTCTAGCCTATCTTTGTTCACATGGTATTCCTGATGGCGGCCAATGTTTCCCAGGTATGTTTGCCGAGGATTCCCATGCCAAAGGCTCCGCCTACATTTTGCCTGGTCAGTAAAAACCTGGTGGTTCTTCGGTATTCAAATGACTGCGGTATTCACCCCGTATCAATCGCACCCTACTTTTTGCTACTGTATATTGTGTATCCTCAACTGTTTGCAGGCTACTAAGGCTAACCATTGTAGGCACGAGCCCAGAAGCGCCTGGCCCTCCCGCCCAAGCGCCTTTGGGCGCCGCGCCAGCCCAGCCAGCCCATCTTTGGTCGGACTATGTACTGAGAACACTGCGGAGTTCCGGCCCTCCTTTTACAGTTCTGGGCCTGGCCGGAGTTGAAGAATGATCCAGGCCCCATCCAAGCAAGTTGCAGATAGAGCGGCGGCTGAAAGACCACAGAGATCCGAGGCACGACTTCCGGAAATGAAGTTTGAGTACAGAAGTTATCACGCGGATGATTTGCACACTCCATCGCAGCTGTTTTCTTGTATAACCGGCTCGATGCAGCAACCCGCTTGTAGCTATCAATTGCACCCTAATTGCACAGCCGGACGGAATACCGAGTGAGATTCAATGAACCACCCCGCGTCGATGACGCATCAAGCTTCAGCTTGTACAATGTACCTGCATCAATCCAGTCTATCTCATGCATCACCAAAAGGCCTTAGAAGGTGGGCATCCGAGCACTTAGAGTAAAAATGGGCATTGCCAGAACCCCACAACGCAGCGACGCCACGCGCCGTCTATGTATTCATCTATCTAGCAGTAGACAATCAAACGAAAGAAAACCCAGGAACCCCCATTCGCCATAGCTAACCCCCAAACCAAACCAGACCTTCGAAGAAAGAAAAAACTCAGACCCAAACCAAACCCAAAACTAGCCGCGGTAGGTATGTAGCAAGCAAGCAAGCAGAAACGCATTACCCCATCTGATCTCACTTGACCCAACGTATCACCCATCATCCATCATCCATCCTCCCCCCACCGCCGCCACCGTCGTTACCCCTTGAGCCCCACCTCCTCCACAATCGAGTTGCCAGCAGCATTGACCCTCTTGAGTGTAGCCGTCTCCTTGAAGCCGACCTTCTTGAGCACGTGTACGCCCGTATCCAGGAACTCCTGCAGCGCCTCTTTACAGTCGCCGACATCAAGCTGTTCTCTCGTCCTCCAGCTATCATCTGCAGCTTCGCAGCCCTTCCATCGCAGCCGGAACATCTCGGTGCCGGCCTCGTCGACGCGCGAGGCGACTATCCGCTCGACTTCGTGCACGGCCGCCGCGCCGCCGCTGCCGCTGCTCGACGGCGTGTGTTTGTGCGCTTTCGACCGCGACGTCTTGCGCTTGTGTTTCTTGACCATTGCGTGCGTTGGTAGGGAGGGAGGGAGTGGTGGGTGCGTGGGCGGGAGAGTGGTGTCGCGTTCCGTATGGAGCGGGGGATTCGGCGTTGACAAGTGATGACTGCGACTGCGACTGCGACTGCGACCGACCTCACCTCGGTGACCCGCGCTAGTGCGCATCCCTGGACAGTGAAGCTCCGTAGGCGGGAAGTTCCGCTATCTATCTAAACAGCTCCCCCCACCCCACCACCACCACCTGCAATCGGCAGCTTCCTCGAAACTCGAGATTCGAGAATGGCTGCTCATTTCCTTCAGCGACTTAGTAATACTTACCGACTTTGCCAGAACACGTTACCTACTTCATTCTATCCAGGATGCTGCTGCTCTGCCGAGCCACCGGTGAAGAACCGCACATTCCCGCCCTTGTACATAACTTGTTCGGAGAAAACAAAGCCCGAGCTGCAACGTAGGCACATGTGCACTTTCCTCCTGTGGACCTCCTTCCAGGCTTCCACGGTAGAACTTCCCCCGTTCGATACGCACACGCACATAATCACGACGCAGCACATGACCGGACCGCACCGCACCGCCAACCGGCCCCCCATCCCCCCGCCCCCCACAACCGCCACGCCGCCACGCCACGCCACGCCGCCGGCGGCCCGCTCGAGCCTCGCCGCCCGATCCCGATCTCCGATCTGCTCCACCGCAACCACAACCGCAACCGCAATCGCAACAGCAACAGCGACGGAAAGCTAACCCCACACTTGAGTTGCCCAACCCCCCACAGATGTGAATGAGATTGAGATATCCGTCCGTGTGTCGCCCCTAACCACCGGTACTCTGCCTAGATCCTCCCGCGCCGCCGCCGTCGCCGCCGCCGTTCGACACTCCCGAGCTGAAACGGGAAGCCCCCATCCACCAGAAGCCAAGACCTGCCCAACTCAATCCAACCAAACATTAACCCCACAGAACAGAGCAGAGCACAAACCCCACAAAACACAATCTCACCCAGAACCGCATCTATGTATGTACACTCCCGGTGTCTTCCACGGTGACTTCCCCGGTGCCCACCCAGTTCCCACCCCGAAATAAAACCCGAAAAACAAACGGAATCCCCACGATCCATGTCCATCCACCTCCACATCCATGCATCCACCTTCCCCCCATCCCCATCCCATCCAAGTCAGCAAAGAGTCCGTAAAGAGCTCCTCGAGCCGGCGGCAAGCCTCAAGTCCCAAGCCTCAAACCCCAAGCCATATGCACCCCACATCTACATCCACATCCCCATCGACTAGATACTAGTAGAGTATCTAGAGTAACGCAGCAGCTGCAAGCCTGCAAGAGAGATGGAGGGAGGGAAAGGAAAACATAGCAAAATCAAAAGCAAAAGCAGCACTGTGAATCATGAGATTCGTTTGCACAATGCACACCTCCCTCCCCCCCCCCCCCCCTTTCGTCTGCGTGCCCGCCGCGCTGTAGGTAGGTCTGTAGGTTTGTAGGTAGGTCTGTAGAGTAGGTCGGCTGACTCACCCCCACGTCCCCCCCCCCGCTTATACCCGCCCAACCACCATCCACCGGTATGTACGCCGTACGCCGTGCGCCCACCAACCTCATCCCATCCGGGCTGCAGGAACGGCGCAAGCAATACAAGCAAGACAAGCACGACAAGCAAGCAAGACAAGCCCGCACAGCAGGCGGAAAAGCATCCCCGTCCATAGAGTACTCTACATGGAGCAGAGCAGTTCGCCAGCATCTGCATTTGCATTCACCTGCAGCAGCAGCAACCCCACTCCTATGTATGGTACAATCAATCAGCGGGTGGTCACATGAACAGTCGAGACGAGTCAATCGAGTGCGGGATCAATCGAGTGCGGGTTCAATTTGAATGTTCCAATGCATATCCAATCCATTGAAATCCATCGCTCCGAGTCCATCGCCTCATCACCGCCATCTCACATTAGATAAGTAGGTGAGTACGCTATGTATGAAGCCGATCTCTCTCCCCCTTCCCCGCGTCCCCACAGGAGAAAAAAAAACAAGAGAAACTATAATACACCTCACCCTCCAACTCACATTCCCAATTGGTATCATCCATCCCGTCCCATCCCATCCGTCTGTCTGGGATATCGAATTGGTTCCGAGGCCCAGAGTTCCCCGAGTTCCCAGAGTCCCCAAGTCCAATACATGCAGAATGTTGAAAAAATGATGAAAATAAAAAAATCAACGTGAAAAAACCCCCAGCCCCAGAATGCAGCAGTCGCTACCCCAAAGGAAATCTTACCGAAAAGGAAATGAATACCCATTCCCCCAATACATGCATGATGCACCGGAAGAGAAATGTCGAATAGAAAGAAGAGAGAAAAAAACGCCCACATTAAACCGAGATGAGTGGAAGAGAAAAGAGAAAGAAAAAAACAGCCAATATTTGAAAATGATGTCTCCGAGCCTGACTGACCGGCCCGGTAACATAGAAACAAAAACGATCCTGGGATCAACACGGATCCACTGCCTTGGGATGGACACCGCGGATGGATATATCGCTGTTGGTGTTTAGCGGTGGAGGCACACTGCGGGAGGGGGGTGGTAGGTAGCAACAAATGAAATGATCGCCGAAGAAATAACTGCCGAAAAATCATGCAGGATCCGAATGTCTCCGCGAAGGCACCAGTGCGTCCTTCCCCAGCATCACCTGTGCCTCCACACTGTTCCTCAATATTTCGACATGGCTCTCCAACATGGCACGGTCGACCTTGAGCTCAAAGTCCATCAGGAAGCAAAAGCTGACTTCCAGCCGCGAGAGATCGAGATCCGTCAGACCGCCAACCTTGGCGAATCGACTGTGGGGGTAGCTGAGATCCTCCAGTGTCTTTGCCGCTATTCGCAGCGCGGCCAGCACTAGCCTATGGGCGTTTAATCGCGTTAGGGGTATTATGCGGTCGGTAACGGAGAGACGGTGCAGGTAATACGACGCGGCGAGGTACACGGCAGTGGAGAGAGGACAGAAGCGGTGGATCCTGCAGGACGAAACATCACATGTCAGTTGGAGGCCAGTCGAAAAAACGAAGGGGGGGTTGCTTCTAGGAGGGCTTGGCGGCATATGCGCGGTGGGGAGATTTGTGTTGGGACACCACACCACCACTAGGAGAAAAAACAAAAGAAACATGGGAAACCCAGAAAGAGAAAATCTGGGGAAGGCCTGGAGGGGTTTGGTTGCAGTGCTGTGCGAGAAGACGCATCATGATGTGATGAGATGTGACATACCTGAAGAGATATTCCTCGATGGGAACCTGAGGCGCGGTCTTGCACCAAAATTTCCGTGCGATCGTCCCATAGTGCATCATGTCATCCACACCTCCATGGTGAATGATGCTTTTTCCCTCCCCTAGGATATCATCGCCTTCGGTCTCCGATGGAGAAACCGATTTAATCCGAATGCCGTCGACGATACTGCTGGCGGAGGAGCCAAAGTAGTATCCGCCCTCGGAATGGCGTCGCTCCTGACTTGTGCTTCCAGGGGTAGTAGGGTTGCTCGGCGGCGGCGTCGGTGGGACATCACCAGTCATGCTGACCAGCAGTTCGGTGTATCGTGCGAGCAGAGTCAACGCGGCGGACGGCGCGAGGTGGAAGATATCGCCGTCTTTTCCTCGCATGCCTCTGGGTTTGGGCGAGTCGCTGGGCAACTGTGGAGGAAGGTCGGCCATGACGGAAGGCAGTTTCTCGTGATCGAGGATAACGTGCGGGTGTTCCGGTGAGTAAGGGGGTGGAGGTGATGCGAAAGGGCTCGTCATACGGTAGGTATCGTCGTCTTGAGCGACAGCGGAGTGGTCGAAGATCGGAAACGACGTGCTGATGGTGGTTCCTGACAAAGAGAGCGGAGAGATGCGGAGCTTCGACAGTAATGCCTCCGCATGGTTTGCATGTCGGGAGAGGAGGTAGTCTGTGGTAGCCACGAGGGAGGTGGGGTGAGGGGGTTGGTGCAATTGATGCCGCCGAAGGAACGGGTCACGAACAAACTCGTCCACGGGGGCAAAAATTGCGTCCGGTTTCCCTTCTAGGGAGCTAGAAGTTGCGCACAAGTAGGAAGGGGGTAGGAGCGAAATGGTGGCGGCTGTAGCGGTCTGCGTGATCGAGACCCGAGCGACATACACCGCAGCGATCAACGGGGGGGGCTAGCGAAGATTTCGGAGCAGCTGTTTTTTTTTTTTTAAGGTGTTACGGGTGAAATTCGAAGCGGTGGGATTGCCTAATGAGAGGGTATAATGGGGGTTAGATTTTATTTATTTTTTGTGTGAGTTTGGTGTGTGTGAGAGAGAATATGCGAGTGGATGAGTGGATGTGGGCGAAGCGAAATGCGGCGTGGGGAGCGCCGTAAGTTGAAGGCTCTGTGCGACACAGGAGTTGAGGCGGGCTCAAAGGGATCTCTTATTGACTGCGTGGGGAGCTCAAATCGGGCTGCAGTGAGCGCAGACGCGGTCTTTGAACTGCGTGGCGGGGCGGAGACGAGGCGGCGATGTAGGCCGGATAGATGGAGCAATGCAAGCCCTAGCCGGTAGGAGGAATGGGGAGGTCTGTAGGACGGTCCTAGGCAGTATTTATTTAATGCGAAAGGCGTGCAGGCACTCTATGTATGCTTTGCTTCGGCACTGCTTCAAACGCGGGGGGGCCCGGGAGAGTGGGTCGATGTCGGTAAGGGTAGAGTAGTGGGAGTGGAGTGCGAGTGGAAGTGATGGTAGCAAGTGCGTCGGTTGTGAGATGGGTGACCAGCGGATGCGGCTTGGAGTAGAATAAAAGGAACGGAGAAACAAGACCGAACTGATTTCGAGTACCTCGGTCACCTTTTTGTAGGTTTCTCTCGGCGGAGCCTGAGGAAGTCGAGTGTCTGGGGGGGGAAATGGCAGGTAGGCGGATCTACGACGTTGACGTTGTTGCGGTCTGTCTTGTCCGTCGGTCCGTTTCCCAGAGCGGAAAGAAAGTGATGGGGGGTAAATATATGGATGATGGACAGTATGGGGAGGACCCCAGTGGATTTCCTGTTTCGCTTCCCTGTGCCCTGTGCCCTGCGTTTCCGCTTGAGATGACCCTGGCAACAGCCCTCACAGCCCGATTATATTGTTGCCTTCGAGCGGAGTAGAGCAATCAATCCAATGAGAGAAGCTGCTCGTTCGTCGTCTGTTTCGAGAGATGTTCGCCGTCGAGAATGGCCGCAGTTTGATGAGACGTGTCGCAAAAAAAAGCAAAGAAAAAGAAAAAGAGAAAGGACGCTTGGGCTCCTATCGGTGATTGGCTGGTTTTCCTCTTTCCTGATGGTTGCCACAAGGCAAGGAATGTGCGGGAGGCGATTGCGAGCGAGCGACTCAGTTGCAGGGTCGGATGAAGGCCAGAAGATTCGGTCGAGTCGAGTTCAAATGCTTGCTCAGATGTATCGATGTATAAACCGCAAGTTTCCTATATAAGGGCAGGTTTATATATATAATTGGTGCGGCACGTAAATGATCGGTATGTATGATATGGGACGGGCCGTGTGATGGTGGTGGTAGTGGTGGCGGCCGCACTGCGGTGTTTGGTGAGTGACTGATTTGAGGAAGGTTATCTCGTTAGACGCAGGTTCCGAATGACAGGCCAACAGACGAGTGGTGGATGTGCTGAAGGCGGTGGTGGTGGTGGTAGTGGTAGTAGTGGACGGGTGGTGGTGGTGGTGGAATGGAGGTGAGTCTGTCCGACTGTGTGGCACCTTGAATACGGATCCGAGGGAGTGAGTGAGTGTGGATGGGAATAGGTACTGTAAGCAGGAAAGGGAAAAAATATCAAAAGGCCCAGAGAGTGGGGGGATACGAGATATTTATCTATTGCCTTATACGAGATTTACTCTCGGAGTTTTTGCTCTGGCCCGCCCGTTCACTCGAACCGATCTGGGTTCTAGGTGCCGCCGGTGGCCCTTGAACCGTTTCGGCATAAAATTCGTGAGTTTGGAGGTTGGCGCGAGTTGCAACATATCGCCATTCGGTAGTGGGAACAAATCCAGAGAAGACCATCCCCCACGGGAACAGCAATCACCGCCACCACGACCGCCGCATCGACTGGGAACCAGCTGTATTCAGCTCGACATACGCTGTGCTCCTCCACGCTGTGCTTCCCCGAAAAACTAACGAATTCCTTTGGCAGTACGTTGACACCACAGCGAAAACGCGTAGACTATGGAGTCAGAGTCAGAGTCAGTTGGAGCCCATAGAACACTCTACAATGCAAATAAAAATCATAAGGAAAAAGAAGAAAGAAAGAAAGAAAGAAAAAACACTAGCTCTTCCCCTAACTCTTCTTCTGGCATCAACCTCATCAGCCATCCCTCTCGCGAATTGGCCAGCCATTATTAGTCCCAATGGGCGCATCTGAAAGGACGCTCCTCGGGCTATTCGGCTGGCGACCCCCATCGTCTCCATGTACACAGTGCAAACGCTCACGAGAACCGAGATCGAGATGTTGGATGGTGAATCGGTACTTCTGGCCGGCCGTCTCAGCAATTGGTTCGGCACATCGTGAAGCTGCGAGGGTGCACTGCTTCAACCGACAGCGGCTGGCTATCCTGGTCCCCCAATGTTTGCTTATTCTTCGTCTTCGTCGTCTTCTTCTGCTTCTTCTGCTTCTTCTGCTTCTTCTGCTTCTTCTGCTTCTTCTGCTTCTTCTGCTTCTTCTGCTTCTTCTGCCCAGTGCTCACTTCTCCGGGCTCGGTGGCAGCTGACAGTTGTCTTGCCTTTCGCGGAAAGGTATGTGGTTAGAACCCCGCAATACACATGCAAGCACAGAAGGGCCGGGCCATCTGCCGTGGAACGAACCCGCCGTGGAATCGAATCCATTCGAATAATGTGCATCCACCCATCAATCCATCCCTCCATCCAGCCTTCCATCCATCCATCCATCCATCCATCCATCGCATTCGCCAGCATCTGGGGAGCAGGTATGTGCGTACAGTATCTACGTGCTCGTATCCTTCCTGTGCTTGCCCGCCGACCGCTCCCTCCGCAGCTGAGCCGTCGGGGGCGTGCGCACCGCCATGTGTGACTTCGACTCTGTGCTGCTCGGGCGCAGAGGATGCAGCAGCGCAGCAGCAGCAGTGCAGAAACGAGAAGTGAATCTTGCACCACACCCGCCGTCGCCGTCGTTGACGGACCGACCGGTAGCGGCTAGCGTCGGCCTCCTTTGCACTTGTGCGTACAGAGTTAGAGCTTAACAGGGACACGAGAACCAGAGTAGTTAGTCAAGTGGGGGGGGCTCTTCTGCTTCGTCGTCTTGTCCTTCTTCTTCTTCCCCACCCCCCCTTTTCTTCCCGGTCCCAGCCTTCCATTCGTCTCGTGCCCGCTGTTCCTCTGCATCCGATCGTGCTTCTCTCCCGATCAACACGCACGGTATCCCGCAGAAACAGCACAGCGCAGTACAGCACAACACAGCACAGTACAGCGCAGCGCAGACCGACAAGAGAAGACGCCAAAGATGATGATGCTTATGCTGATGACCTCCCCTCCTCCCTCTCTCCCTCCCTGCCCCACTAATGAGGACCCTGCAGCTGAAACCACTCTAAATACTAGCAGATGGGCAAGGGAACGGATGGGAGATGGGCGGGGTTTTTATTCCCGACCTACCTACCTGCCCTCCGCCATCACGTATGTGTGTATGTGCTCCACGGTACGTACTCTATGGTACCACCTACTCTACGGTACTACTTTACATACTCTACTCTAACCGTGGCTACAGCAGCATGGGCGTGACGATGGAATATTCTGCCTGATATGACTTTGCCGGTGAACAAATTGCCCTCCGTAGGCATGTACGATGAAAGTGGAGTGCATTCCTCTTTCCCTGGGCTCCGGAAAGCTCTGGAGTCTGGAGTCTGGACGCTAAATGTGCGTGCTATTTTTTCCCACGATACAGACGGCACCGCCTCGAATTGCCTCCAACGGCGGCGGCGGGCTTCTGTGGAGAAGTCCACCGCTTCTAGGTTCCGCACTGCGGGTTCGTTGGGATTTCCTCGCACACATACGGTACAGGGAAGGGCCAAGGCCTATGGATGGCCTGTTTAGCGGCGGACCCTGCTAACCGGGCACACACCGCGAAACGGAAAACCCACAAAAGACATCACGCGCACCATCTTCTTGCACGGATTGTTTTTTTTCTTTTCTTTTCTTTTCCTTTCCATCATCAGAAACTCGTGCGTAGCGTCTCGTTGGTTGCCGCCTCCAAAACGCCTCCCGCTGCGGGAGCCTGTCTGTTCGACTCGCTCGACTCGCGGACCGTCCACCCCGACAACCCCCATCCGATACGCTTGACGACTGCCTATAGTACTCCACCTAGGTACTAGACATCGTGAGATTTTCGACGGCGACGGCAACTGGCAACTGGCAACTGGCAACCGCTGCTATGTGTTCGAAATGAATTCGCCGAACAATATAGGCAGGTCGCTAGTCAGCGTAGCTGGCTGAAGCATGGCCGTATGAAGAAAGGATCCTCGGAAGGAAAAGGGTAGCAATCCGTTTCCTCGTGAGGGAAAAGAAAAGTGACACACATTCTCCACCTGCAGCCCTCAGTGCTCACTCCCTCCTTCCTCCCTTCACAAAACATCGACACATTGCCGCCTATTCAACGGCAATTGTTGCCCCCCCCCCACAAACGGTTGCAGATGCCAGCCAGCCAGCCCATGGTTTGATCGCTCACCGCCAAAAGCAAAATGGAGTGAATGCGGGGTACTTGTTTACACCTACATACCTACCACACACGCGTTTCTTACCGGAGCTGCTGGGCATCCTTCACCACTACCACTCACCACCCTTGCAAACATAAACGCCCCCAGCGGTAAAAAGGAAATCAAATACCTTTTTTAAAAAAAAGGAAAAAGAACTCACCCCATTTTGACGTCTTTTTCTTTGTATGTATTCAGCCGGAGGCTGAGATGTGAAGATTGCGTTCGGTAACTACGGTATGATGGCATGGTGCGGTGCGGTGTTGGACCCTGGCTCAATTCGATCGCGGCCCTGCGGATACATTTCATGGGGCCCCAGAAAGTCGAGTTTCGGATGTTGTATGTAGTGTACATAGCTGGGCAGGGCTAACGGGTGAGGAAGGATGAGGGAGGGCCCTGCGTCGCTTTGCGGGAGTTCGGGTATGTTTTTCCGGTTACTTGCTATGATCTTCCCTACGGAGCCGGGAGCCCCTCAGGCTCAGGCTCAGGGTCCTGTCAGTTGTTCGTCTCCGCCACCACCACTACCACCACCCCGAGGCTGGCTGATCTCCGGGAGTGGGTGAGGCCACGAGCTGAGGTGGGTGGATTTCCCTCCCACCCCCCTTCTTCCTTTCTTCCCTTCTGCCCATCTGCCCTTCGCACCTCAGCAGTGTGATACATACCAACTGAGTGTTTCTCGTCACACAACCTCTCTAACGGACCAATATGTATTCCCCCAAATTCCAATCCTCCAAACAATCCAGCACATCGGAAACCCACAGCCCCCTATGTGTCTGCTCTGTTCTGCTCTGCTCTGGCTGAACCTGAAACCCCTGTGCGACGCATTCGTCTGGGCTCTGGGAGTTGATCCTCCACTGGATAGATACCGGTACCGGTGGTACTGCGCCTGGTTACAAGGCAGCGCACTCCAGAGTTGAGTTGAGGCGAGCACAGCTGAGAATTTGAGAAATGATATGCACAGAATCATAGATCATGGGACGGGCTTGCGCCTCCTGTATTTGCCTCAACTCTGGTGTTTGGGGTTTGGGATTTGGTGTTTGGTGGAGCCTTGGAGTTTTGGAGGCGACGAGGCGACGGGCGTTGCCTTGCTTTGCTGCGGCCATGGCTACGCTGCGGCCATGGCTACGCTGCCGGTCGGTGCTTGCTTGCTTGGTAAGTCATACAGCATGGAACTCCAAGGTTAGGTATCAGTATGGCCGGCCAGGTCGTCACTTGCAGTTGTATGTACCGGCCATTGTACCGGCCATTGTTGCTGAGTGAGCAATGATTCGTGGCCAGCATGATGTGTGATGTATAAGCTGCGGTTTGCGAGACTCGCGTGCACAGGGCACTCTGACAGCCCACTGCACATTGCGGACAAGGCTCGAGCTCGACGGACGAGTCACTGACTCACTGTATCCTCCCGGTTCCCGGATATCCCGGATAATAGTTAGTCCGACGCAAGGGCCTGGCGTGTCACTGGGAGCTCCAAAGTTCGAACTTCGAATACGCAACTGCGGTACGGGAGCGGGCGAATCGTGGATACGCATCATAGAGTGTGTACATGCGGTCGCCGCGAGTGAGGCGGGATTGACTTTCAAGATGCGCCAGGGATGGTGGTACCCAATTGGCGTTTGCTCTATCATAATCGGATTTAACCTCTACCTATGGAGCTTATCGTCCTACACATCCCATCTACAGTTCCGACTACTGGTTGGCTGGCTGGGTACAACGTAGGCAGCTCCTACACCCTCCACCGGACCAAAGGAAAAAAAACTCAAGAGTTTATCCGAACACTGGCACGAGTGATAGGTCATGTCACGGCTCCTAGCGAGTCGGAGTCGCAGTCGGAGTCGGGCGTCGTTGGTAGCAACCACTTGGTGTCTCTGGACTTGCATCTTCAACCGTTTGTGTCGCTGTTCGGTTCGTAATTGGAATGTACGCAGGCGTTCCAAAATCCGTGCTCTCTCCGATTTCTTTTCACAGCCTTTCACAGCCAAATAGAGGCTAAACCGACCGTCGACCACGTGCTCGACTATAGTAACCCAGAGGCTTCGTGCAGAAGCAAAGATAGATTGCTGACCGCCCCATACCCCATCGCCATCGCACGCTCATCGAAATTCGAGTCGAGGCCGAGTTTTCGGGAATTCCACGGAAACTACGGAAGCTACAGCTGCCACACGGGGATCGATCGATCGATATGCTACAGATTAAATCGATCCTGATCTCCCCCTCCCCTCTCTTTCTGAAATATATATATGCAGTATGGTCGTTCTCTTTGTTTCGCATAGGTAAGTAGAGACGCAACCCAAACACCCTGCATGCGGTAGGTAAGTAATCGCCGCCTACATAGCTCGCGAGATGTGGCAGAGCGGCCGCTATGTACAGTTGTTTCCAGGGTTCATAAGCTGCAGGGGGCTCTACACTTTCATCTTGGAGGGAAGGTGTGAGGTGAGATGGCTACTGGATAATCGATCTCCTAGCCAGAATTTGAGGTTTTTGTTTTGTTTAACCAGTGACGATCCACGAGTGATAAGCCATGATCAAAAAGTCAGGTAATATATATGAGGGCGGTTATTTCTCGTTTCTCGTTTCGAGGGGGGGAATCGAGATCCAACGAGGCCCACCCCGAGCTCTCTCGTGCTCAGCTCGGCTTTCGGTACATCTCACCGCCCCCAGACAATACTTTACATATCTCGCACGAAAAGGAAAAAAAAAGAAAAATAACTTGTCCCGCACGGTAGGTATCAGCTTGACAGCTTGACAGCTTCCAAAGTTGGTGAGTGGTTATATTCTCGTTAGATACTGCTTACGGGCCACGGCACGGCGTCGTCCGGAACTGGGGGCGTTTACAATTTTGTGCTACTTTCAGTGCTCTAGAAATCCCGAGTCTCGAAAGGCGAGCTGACGAAGGAAGTTATCTAACGTGTTTACCAAAACTTCAACCGTTCGAATACCGCCAAACAGTCAGTTCCGTTATGGCGGTGCTTGACATTGGGGCGAAATCGCGGAAAATTCCACGTGGACGATGGACGCCGGTGTTGTGTGAGGGTCTCTATTGGTCCTCAAAGCCTATATCCCTCCGATCTGTATGGTTCCTGCATCCCCCATTCGAGCCGCAATACCAAAACGAAACTTCGGCAATCTCCGTTTATGCCTCACGACCAGTGACCACGGCCGCAGTCAGCTTGTATGGCTCCTCCCCAGACTGATCCAATGTGGCATCTTCTCGGCCGCACCGGCGCACCCACGCTCTCCTCGTCGTACTCCTTCGCCGCTCACGCGTAGAGTATTCTACGCATCCACCTTCACCGTCGCCACCATCACGGGCATCGCAGCGTGCAACTACTAGTATAACTACACGGCACTACCCGCACCCGCACAACGTCTCACTCCCGAAACTTCTACGCTCTACATACTCGCCGAGCATAAAGCTATAGTACCTGCGCCGTTTCGACGCGCACCTCGATTCTCACGCTCACCGCCGCCGCCACCACCGTCCTGCGCTCACCCACCTAGATCAAGCACCCGCCGGCGATGATGGCGGCGCGGCCCTAGCTACACGCCGCTCCCGCGCATCGCGGGCGGAGACGCGGAGGACGCGCATACAATGCAATACTCCTCATGCGTGAACACCTTATACGCTCACCCCCGGAGGTCCACTGTCCATCGTGGAACTGCGGGGACTACACTATGAATACTATGTCGTACCGGCGAACCTTCGCCGGACCTGTCTACACGCCTCCGGTTCTTGGCGGACGGGACGGGAAGCGCTCCGGTGCTCCAGTGCGCATGTGAGAAACTCGGCCCGTCGGGTACTCTATATCCAGCTTGCGGATCATATGCTCGGTGCTGCACCGTGGAAACGGTGGGCGCGGCGTTGGAGAACTCAGGATGGGAGAGGCTGGAGAGAGCGCTTGTGGGACGGTTGCAGGTGGTGATTGCGTATGTAGTGGGGCGCTGCGAGAGTGACAGTTCCGGGACCGGCGGAGTTTGTGAAATATTGAGACGGTGGGTGGGCGGGCGGGATAGAGGAACAATTTCATTTTCTAGAGGCGGATGTGTGGAAACTCAAGATTGCACGGTTTGAACTTCGGTGAGAACATCATGGTGCAAGAGTATGTAGAATCTAGATTTGCCATTGAATTTGGCGTTTGGGTGGGCGGAATGAATATCTACCTATCTGAATAGAGATTCCCAGGTAACTATGGGAGTGATTGACGATTGACAATTAACGGATAATCCTATATTCTCCTCGTGATGGGTGTGGGTGTGTGTTTCCAAGTGTCACACACACCACCTTGCCTTGCATTCCGTTGCCGTCCCCCGTCCCCTCGGAAGCGCTGACAGTTGTCACTCAACTTCGCTTCGCATCGATCGCTTCCTTGTTTACCCGGGACCCGGGGGGACCTGACATGGCCAAGCCACAATCGATAACCTCGGCCCGTCCTCCTGTACTCTACTCTGCGGTACAGCCAGCAGTCTCTTACCCGGTTTTTCCGGGACAATTCGGCAACCCACGATATGATGTAATTTTTTGCTTGGTGGGGCAGTTCCGTACACCCTTCGAAACGACGCTGCCCCCCGCTCTCCCACACCGCACCGCACCGCACCACTCCGCTCCGAGTGCGCGAGCGGCGGCCACAGAGCTTACCCCGGACCGCATCCACATAATGAAGCAAGGGGCGGGTGGGAGGGCACGACGCATGAGCATGAGCCATGAGCCATGAGCCTTGAGGATGATCCGGATCGATGGGGGCGCGTGTGTGGATGGGAACAAAAAGTTCAAGGCAGCTGCTCGGCCGGTGGAGGGGCGGGGGGAAGGGGGGGGGGGGGGGGGAGGCATAACATATGAGCCCAGCTTAGATAGTTTACGGGATAACACCAGCACCGAGGTCCTTTGGCTCGGTGTTTCCGTTTGACCGCACACAAAAACTGGGACAACCGAACTTCTTCTGCCCACATGTCTTGTCTAAATCCCCCATTCCCGCGTGCCTCCTCCTCGTCCTCCGACCTTCTTCTCCTACCCCCTTCTTCTTCCTCCTCTCTTCCTTTGTCGACAGTTCCAATAGTCTGTTACATCTCCACTCCTCTATTATATTCTTATTCTTCTTCGTCGCCCTCTTCGACGTCACTTGTTGCGCGCTGTTGTCCTAAGGTGTGATCTACGGTGACAAGTTGCAACGCCGGGAAAGAAGGAAAAAAAGAGAGTAGTACTCATCGGCCTCACTAAACACACACGTCATGGGTGATAAACAGAAGAAGCCGGCCACTATGGCCACTCACTTGATCGGTATGCTTTTGGCGTCAATCCGGGGAAGCAATTTGTAGTTGCAATTGCGCGGCGCGGACTGCTAACCGCGGGGTGTGATTGTTGCAGCCGGTGGAGGAGCTGGTATGTGCGAGGCGTTAGCATGTCATCCGTTAGGTGAGTTCTTCAATATCTTCAATTCCCCCGCTCGTGTTCCCTCGGTGTTAGGAGGTTTCTAATGTGTGCGCGCAGATACCATCAAGGTACGGAGTTTCCCTCTTTCTCGATGCCGAGCGCTCGCCGCCGTCGTCGCCGGCCGACATGTGACTGACGTAACGCGAAGGTGCGGATGCAACTGTCGCGTCGCCAGAGGGCGCCGGGAGTGAAGCGGAAGGGATTCTTCACGGTTGGAAAGGACATCATCCAGAAGGAGGGCCCGCTGGCGCTCTACAAGGGATTGGGTGCCGTCGTTACCGGAATCGTGCCCAAGATGGCCATCCGGTTTTCGAGTTTCGAGTTCTACAAGTCCCTTGCGCCAATTAACCCCGAGACTGGAAAGATCGGGGCGAGTGGTGTTTTTTTTTGTAGGTCTCCCAATTCCCGGCGTGGGGGCGGTGGTGGTAGTGGTGGTGGTTGTGGTAGGTGGGAGTGCAACCTCGCTGACATTCCTTCTGCGGGATAGCCGGTCTCGCTGCCGGTGCCACAGAAGCCGTCGCCGTCGTGACTCCGATGGAAGTCGTCAAGATCCGGCTACAAGCCCAGCACCACTCCATGTCCGACCCGCTCGACGTGCCCCGATACCGGAACGCCGCGCACGCCGCCTACACCGTCGTCCGCGAGGAGGGATTCCGCACGCTGTACCGTGGTGTCTCGCTCACCGCCCTACGACAGTCCACCAACCAGGCCGTCAACTTCACCGCATACACATACTTCAAGCAGGCTGCCCTGAAATACCAGCCGCACCTGGAGGAGCTGCCGAGTTACCAGCACATGCTGCTCGGATTGGTCTCTGGTGCCATGGGACCGCTCTCTAACGCTCCCATCGATACCATCAGTGAGTCTTTTCCTCCCATCATTTTGTTGTGCTCGGAGCCGTCGCTGATGTGCGTACGAACTTCAGAGACTCGATTGCAGCGAAGCTCGGCAAAGCCCGGAGAGTCGGCGATGGCGAGAATAATTTACATCTGCAAGGACATGTTCAAGCACGAGGGATTCCGGGCATTCTACCAGGGAATCACGCCGCGCGTCATGAGGGTTGCCCCCGGACAGGTAAGAAAGAAAACCAAGCTGATCTGACAGTTGCATGGAAATACGAACGATTGCTGACCGAGATGTGCAGGCTGTCACCTTTACCGTGTACGAGTACATCCGCGGATGGATGGAGAAGCTGGCGGCGCCGGAGCACGACAACAAGGAGTACCGGGAGTAGAATGTGTTGGCTTTAGTGTTGCCGGTGGGGGGCGGGGTGATGGGTGGGGATAAAATGTATTATCTACACGTGTGGGCGGGTGGGTGGCGTTAATATCTTTATTGATTTATCCGTTATTAAAGGGTTCTCTGTATCATGATAGGAAGAAGAGGAGGAAGAAGAAGAATATGATGATGAACAAGTAGAGGAGGAAGAAGGGGTGTATTGTAAATGGGATATCAAGTTCGATGCAATTCAGAGTTTCGCGATGTCGCATCTATGAATAAAAGTTCGAGAGGTCGACAGTGACAGGGTGAGGTCCGCAGGGGCAGATAACTCTACTACCTACTCTATCTGTACCTCCCTAGTCGGGAGGCACGTGCGTTCCGCTTGGCAAAGCGATTCAGCTCACCCCTCGTGTCTCGCAATTCTCCCCCTCTCTTCAAGATTGCTATTTCCAACAGAACCCTCTCTGCCCAAGAGCTTCATTCCTCCATCTCCCAATCCATCGCCAGATTCGCCCTATCCGTTGTCCCTTACCTACACCCGCTCGACCTCGCTATGGCTGGCCGTTTCGTCCGATCCTCCAAATACCGTGAGCCTCTCTTGCCGTTCCTCCCCCAAGCTATTCCGTTCCATTGTTGACAGCTCTTCCATCCTGCAGGACACGTTTTTGGTCGGTCTACAAAGAAGGTATGTGTCTGTTGCTTCGCTCTCTGTTGATTCGGCTATGGCTAGGTTGCGGATTAATGCTAACATTGTTCCGCTATTCCAGGAGCTATGTTACGATAACCTGTGCGCTCCCTTCCTCCACCGAATCCCCTATTAGTACATACTCGGACCATCACCCATCTGACCTCAGCCCACAGCCACATCTCAAAGAATGCTTGGGACAGCAACATCATCAAAGTACGTGCTACACTATACGATCATCCGTCGTCGTCCGTCGAAAATGAAGTGGTCGATCGGCGTGGGCGGATGGCGATGAGGTGGAAGGAGAATAGTGATTCTGACGGAACCAGGTCAATCCGTCGTACCTGTCGGTGAACTGGGAAGCTGGCGGAGGCGGCGCCTTCGCCGTCATTCCCTTATCCGAGCGCGGGAGACTGCCGGAGCTCATCCCCCTATTCCGAGGACACACTGCCGCGGTTCTGGATACCGACTGGTCGCCGTTCAACGACTCGCTCATCGCCTCCGGCTCTGATGACGGGAAGGTGTTCATCTGGAGTGTGCCTGAAAACTTCTCGCTTCATTACGATGAGGAAGAGGGCCCTCAGGATGTTGCCCCCGTGTTGAAGCTCGCCGGACACACGAGGAAGGTCGGACATGTCTTGTTCCATCCGTCGGCGGAGAACGTGCTCGCGACTAGTTCCGGGGACTATTCGATCAAGCTGTGGGATGTCAACACCGGTGCGGCGGTTCACCAGTTGCCCCACGGTGACATTGTGCAGTGTATGTCCTGGTCGACGAACGGATCCATGCTCGTTACGACTTGTCGAGACAAGAAGCTCCGTGTTTGGGACCCTAGACAGGAGAAGGCGGTGCATGAGGTTGCCGGACATGCTGGAGCGAAGAACAGCAGGGCTGTATGGATGACCGGAGAAGTCGGTGGTGACAAGATTGCGACCACTGGTTTCAGCAAGATGAGCGATCGTCAGCTTGGTCACTGGGACCTGAGAACTCTGTCGGAGGGGCCTGTTGGCGGCTTCGAGATGTTGGACAGCATCTCGGGCGTGTGCATGCCGTTCTGGGACCAGGGCACGAAGTGCTTGTACCTGGCCGGAAAGGGCGATGGAAACATTCGGTACTACGAGTACGACGGCAGCGAGTTCATCCCCTTGTCCGAGTACAAGAGCAGCGAACCCCAGCGTGGTGTCGCATTCTTGCCCAAGAGGGGTGTTTCGGTATTGTACCAGTTTGATGATGTGAGGGGTGTTTGCTAAGCGAATCCAGGTCAACGACAACGAGGTGATGAGGGCGTTCAAGACTGTCAACGACGCGTACATTGAGCCCATCTCCTTCATTGTTCCCCGACGGGTAAATTGCAATCCTCAACCGTGGTCATAGTTCGCCGCTAACTAGTGATCTTCCAGGCCGAAACCTACCAGTCCGACATCTACCCAATGGCATCGTCGGGAGTGTCCGCGCTTTCTTCCAGCGAGTGGTTCGGCGGTGCCGACGCAGAGGCACCGCAGTTTGATCTCGAGACCCTGTACCAGCCTGGTGCTTCGCCTGCGCCTACACCCATGCCTCCATTGTCTACCGCGCCGTCGACGCGCAAGAACACCTTGCACATGCACACACCCTCGCCTTCCATCACTGCTGCCCTGGACTCCTTCAGGTCTCCAGTCAGCCCGGTCAAGGAGACCCCCAAACCTGCAGCAGTGGCGCCGGCGGCGACTCCCACGGTCGAGAAGGAGCTGCCATTCCGCCCCAAGTCTCCCACCAAGACTACCACCGCGCCGTCTCCCAGGGCTGCCACTCCCCCGGCAGCTAGTCTCGCGCCGTCACCTGCTGCGGCACCTACCCCTGCTGCTCCTCTCGCCCCCATGGCCCCCTCTTTTGCTGAATCCATCCTTACCGACCAGCTCGTCAAGATCACTACCCTGCTCGAAAGCCAGAACGAAACGCTCGCGGCTCAGAACGCACAGATCCGTGAGCTCACCAAGGAGGTGGATACCCTCAAGGAGAGGATCGTCGATGGAGGAACTACTGTGATAGTGGGCAACGAGGAGCTAGAGGAGGAGGGTAGGAGAAAGGACGAGAAAATCCGACAGTTGGAGCTGGAGCTGGAGAAGGCTCAATCTTGATTGGGAACGACTAGACTACTACTACTACTACCACGGAGTTATCTCTCTAGTAGAAGGGGGTTATCATTTTTGACGTTTGACGTTTGTTTTACCTACTTCACTTACTGCAGCGGTACAAGGGAGGGATTTGTGCAAACTGCGTTGCAGCGTTGCATTCAGGCTTCATTATCTTTTTTTTCCCCTTCCACCTCCTCTTCTCGCGTCTTTTTGGGCGCTTTTACGGAAAATGTGAAAAATTTATGTTTGACGATTCTTTTTTTTTTCTTTCCTTTTCTCTCTTTCTTTCCTTTATTTCTTTTCTTTCCTTCTTTACGATTTTGTTTAGATATCAGACTACACGTAAACACAATTACAACTTGATGAATCGATCACAAAGGTGACAAGTGACGGAAATCGGAGATGGGATTCTCAAGGCTCCGAGCCTATGGGCAGGCGGTGGTCTGGGGCTGTGGCTTCTCTTCTTTACTATACACTTGAGCGAACCCGTAGATCATGGTGTACATGGTTGTTGGCAGGATGGCGTTGGCATGCATCAACACAATGATCACCGAGTTTCCTCCTACATCCAAACCGGCCAGAGGGAGGGAGAGCGCATCTTGCGGGCGAGCGGGTATATGGCTCTTAGTAGCGGCCGTCGTACATACTTTCCAAGTCTCTGAGCAATTGAGATACAGATTCCAAGCCATGAAACGATGAACTGCAATTTACCATGCAGTTCCTCACTGAACCTGAAAGTAGCCATTCACAATTTCTCACCCGGCTATTGACGAGTGTGGCTCCTTCGTTGAGATTTGGAACTTGGAGTGAAGCGATGGCTATGGTACAATGTAAACACTTCAGGCTCTATCGAGGACTGGTTGATGTCATAATAGCTGCCATAGTATTCGTGACGGACTGCCGCGGTCGGGACTAGTAGCGGCAGCAATTGTTTGAAATCCTTCATGACCCCCCCACCCCCCCCCCAATAACCATCGTACCTTGAACCTCCTATTCACCCACAACAACACAACAACTATCGCACCTTACATCCCCAGTTCATAGACAGCACCACAACGACAATCGCAACTCATACCCCTCATTCATGGACAGCAACCACAACAACCATCGCAACTTAGCTCCCATTCATCATCAGCGACCACAACAACCATCGTAACTTATAGCTCCCACTCATCACCAGCAGCCACAACAACCATCGTACCTTACATCACCCATTCATTGACAGCAACCTCCCTCCCTTCCCCATTCATTTCTTTCCCTCTCCAATCGACCTAGCTCCAACTCCTCCTCGTCTTCTCATTCACATAGGTAGGTAGGTACAAGGTAGGTAACTTCCATACGTTCTACCTCGCCCAGTATGGCACATCACACCGTCACCAGTTCGCGCCACCAACACACCAACTCGCCATGGTTGCTTGCAGCATTCATCCCTCACCACTCCCAGCCACTCCCAGCCACTCCCAGCCACCACCCGGCAGCCATCCACGTTCTCATCCTCATCCTACTCCGGAACTTCTAGAGTCCAGAAATAAGGCCGCCCGCTTCGATATCGCCGGTTTGGCATGTTTCCTCAGTTGCCATCTCTCGGAATCCCATGCGTGCCCACTGCTGTGCGCGGGTACGGCATTTTACTTCCCCCCCCTCATCCCGACCCGGTGGGTTATTGGTTGCCACGATGGTTTGGAGGTACAAAGGTATTATGTACTGTGTGTGCGTGCGTGAGTGCGTGTATCTTAACAGCCCCAGTAGGCCAGGGGAGATGTTAATGCACCGCTATCACTCGGCCAACGCGAGTACGCAGCTACTCATACTATATATAGTATATATACGGTTGGAGTGGTGTGTGACACAAGAACCCCTCTGTGGTGTAGTTGGTATCACACCGGACTGTAATTGCAAGGTTGTCATCCGTTGGTCACCAGTTCGACTCTGGTCGGAGGGACTTCTTTTTGCTGTTTTCCCTCCTATTATGTAGTATGGGATCTTGGCGCACATATAGGTGATGGAAGTGTTCACAGCTACTCTACATGAAGTCGAGCTGATCCGTGATTTATGGACTGACGTGGGTCGAAGACTTGGGAACTCATCCGGACGGAATAGCGGGGACTTCGCCGCGAGGTCGAGGAAGCGCGCGAGAGCGCAGGCATGTAGACATCTTGTAGGTATATTGCAGGTATATAGCTAATCGGGAACAGCGGCGATGCTCCCTCTGAGGGTTTCGTGTGTAAGTAATTACATACCTAGGCAACGGGTCTTCCTTGATGAACCAGGAGAAAATGAAGACTGCGAAGCGTGGTCAACTGGCCACTTGATACCCCACTAGGTGCCTGGGCGCTTCGCCACTGGCAGGAATACTACATAGTATGGTCATATGATCCACTGTACAACCGAACATCTGTGTGGTGTAGAGTAGGTATCGCCTTGCATGGAGTGATGGACGCCGTGACATCCACCAGGAAATCTGCCTGGTGCCACACAATGCAATGTTCCGTCGTGTCTACCCGAGTGATCAATCACGGGAAGGGAGGAGATAGGCGGATAGGTACAATGGACAGGGCAGGTAGATGAGCGGCGCAAGGCCTGTACCGTAGGTTCGAGGTTTCGCCTTTGATATCTCCTCCTCCCGCTTTTTCCTTTCCGGAGGCACACCGGAAGCTCGACCGGTGGAAATGGTGTGGTGTAGTGTAGGTTGGCTTACGGATCGATACAGAAGTGCAACGCTCCCCAAAGGTGAACTCTGCGTATGTATGCACCTGGTAACTGGTTTCGTAGGACCGGTCACTGAACAAGTCACCGAAAACGACAAAGCTGCCTGCCGCTGCGGACTCCCGTATTCCCCCCCCGTTCCGTTCTTGGATCTGCGGCGGATCAGCACAATATTCCTGCCAGGCTGCCAGGCTGCCAATTCTCAGCGTCTTCGTTGCACTCGGCGACTTGGCACGCTCTCACGGCCCCCGCAGAATTAGCTAACATCGACTCGACAATCCTCCGTGAGGTCCGGTGTATGATACTATGATTCCGCGTAACTTCACAGGCACACAACACCGATAGCCGGCATTGCAACGAAGAGAAGAGAAGAGCCTTTGCGCACCTATCTCAACTCGCTCAGCGGACGCTTCTCAGTCCGTCACGAGTACATCGTACACACTGGAAGCTCACGACCGTTGGCCGGGCTGCAGCACGCAGTCTCCCATTTCGTCCGGTGGACCGGGGATATACCAGTAGGTAAACGATTCGCCGATGCGCCGAGGTTTATCCGACTGCCTGTCGACAACTCGCGGCTCTTGGTGTCTAAGGGGTAGTTAGTACCGTGACGATCGTGCGGTTGCCGCCTACCTAGGCGAACGAGGGGGTATTCGGCGTTCGCCTGGCGAGAAACCGCCGGCCGGTGGCGTGTACGGCGGATGAGAGGTTTTTGGATAACAATGTGTATATGGCCACTGGGTATGATCGCTTCGATACGAGGGTGCGAGACGTGCGGAAGGAGAACACGGTAGGGAGTTGCTGGCGGAGGCGGAGCCGGGGTTTGCGCCGCTGGATAGGTACCGAGTGGTGGTGGCAGTTCACGCATAAGGAAGCCTGAGTTGTTTCCTGATACCTGTTCTGATTTTCCGATTGTGCTTGTCGACGAAGAGAAGAAGGCCGATTGTTAAGGGGTGTTAGACCACGGGCGTCGGGAGGATCGAAGGTTTGGCTGAAGTGAGGGACAGTCTGAGTACATTCTCTCATGGTGGTAGAGATGGGCTGTCATTCGACAGCCAGGGTTGGTGGAGCTTGAGACGTACACAGGTGACTTCACCTGCACCGCTACCACGGTCTGCCATTCGTTAGGTTGTGACCCGAAGAGCTAGCCAGTGATCGAGATCATTGGCTGGGCCTGAGTGATAGGCTGTGATAATCCGTTTCAATGGGCAATCAATCATCGTGCGCGTTTCAGCCCGGGTTCGATTTCCAGCCGCTTCTCAGCTGTAAGCAAACAAAGCTGTCCTCGTCGTATCATACGCTGTGTTCGAAACACTATATTACCGGCTGGATACTTCCAAATACCGCCCGATACCGTCTTCCGGTCGCGAGACTGGCAAAGCTCGGATATGGTGACTGCATGATGCATGTTCGGAAAGGAACTGTCTGCGACTAAGAAGTGCAGAAGGTCACGCACATACGTGACGAGGTCAATAACTTGAGATGCCGAGCGGCGAGCGCGGTACATGAATTGATCGTAGACGAACATCTCCGGCTCGGAGTTACCTAACTGTCTCTGTGTATGCGGCTGCTTTTGATTGGTAGCTATAGATATTTGTGCCACGTCCAATCCGGTCCGCGAGTATTCGTAAAGAAGTGCGCCCTGTAGGTAGGTAGTCGCAGCGAAACCTCCATTTGCTTATAGATATATGGCTTGGGCTGCTCGTTCTGAAGTCGCACTCGATGTTCGAACGCTGGCCGCAAAAGCCACCTACGGAACTGTGCATCGGATATGCGCCGTCAGCATCGGGATGCATAATCGTGGCGGCTGGAGCCTGGGCTCGGAACTGGTAACTACTAGTAACTAGCATAGGACCCATCCTCCAATTCCGATCGTGCAACCTGAGGGCTCGGACCTCAGGTCACCTGGTGCCGCCCCCATGCTTAGTTAAAGCTTTGGCCATCACCTGTTGTTCTTTTCCTCGATTCACTTTTCCTTCGAATTACTTGATGATGCTTGATGCATATTCTTCTCCACTTCGGCCAGTCTCAGAGGTCTTCCGAAGATGCTGATCGAACGACGTGTCGCGCTTGTTTCATGGCGTCTGTTGGCTAGGAGCTAGGTACCTAGTATTCGCCGCACACCAGTTGGGAGAGAGCCAGTCATGACTAATATCGCACCCTGTACATATGAGTAAGGTAGCCAGCATGAAGAGCTCCATACGCGTCCCCCTCATCATGGCCAAACGAGATGCGAAGCACACCTGCTCCACAGTGTTATATCCGCTTCCGCCAGTACTCGGACATCGACCGTCGGTGGCCCGCAATCTCGCGGAGATGCTAGTGCCCGAGGCAGAATGAATGACGTTTGTTCGGAGCTCAAGGTTGTGAGCAAAGATACAGCTGAAGAGTACCTAGTGGGTATGTATGTGAGTGCTCTGCTCGTGCACATGGTTAGTTGGTTGATGATATTGGCCGAAACACCCTTGTGGGACATGAGCTGATAGCTCATGAAGACTCAACCGTATGGACTATAACTAGGGCCTGGTGCATGTTCCGTCACCTCGTGCCATGGAGCCTCAAAGAAAAGCGGGAGTTTTTGACTCGTATGTACTCTCCTCAACGGTTTCGTCTCCTCTTCAGCAGAGCTCTCTATGGCAAAGAAACTCACGACAGTGTGCAACATTTGTTGAAAGCCGATCCAGCAGAGCCACAGAGCGTGCAT